GATGGATGGATGGATGGATGGATGGATGGATGGATGGATGGATGGATGGATGGATGGATTATTGGGAATAGATGATGCATGGATAGAATATTACTTAACTGTGAAAATGCATGTCATAATCATTAAACCTAATAATTAAACATGATTAGGTTAAATTTGGTTTAAGGTTCAATAATTCACCCAGGAAATATTTGACTGTTGCTAAAAAAAAATACACTGTTAAAAAAAAAATATATTTTAAACTAAATGAGTGTAAGAAAGGGAAACACTTAAGTGTAAAGGTTCAAAGTCTGCTCAAAATCCTTCAGTTCACACAAGTTGACACAGGATAGGGAAATCTGTTTACCTTTAAGAATAAAACCTGAAATTAGAATCAAAGCTTTAAAATGTACTTGTAAAAAAGGTTGTACTTTTAATAAAGTGTTATATTCTATCCTTATTTTATTCCTATTCTCTTTGTTTCACATGTCTTTACAAATACTTTTGACCAATTTATGCACCTGCTGTAGAATGTGAGGGACATACGCACAAACTCACATGATCATTTAAAGCATTTTGTTTGCTTCATATCTCACTGATGATCTAACCAGCGATAAATTGTAGTATGAGAACTCATCATATTTTAGGTATGGCTCATTGATTGACACCTGGAACATTCCACCTGATATCTGTTTTCCTGTTTAAACATATTGACCTCACACTTATGCAACATAGCCTTTTCAGAGATTCTGCATTGATAAATTCACAGAACGCTCAGCGGAGTTCTGTTTGATAAAGTCAGTAATGATTGAAAGGAACAAGCAGGTAAAAAAAGTTTTGACCACGTATGCAAAGATGTCAAGTTTTGGGAATTGATGGTCTTCCTATAAGAAGATGTAAATAAAACAGACTTTAATATGATTTCTTGTAGGTGCCATTTATTCCTTTTTTATTAGCAAAATAAGTGTTTGATGCTGAATCAATACAGATTGTTTAGTGAGAGATAGTTCTGAAAAGGAGTTGTCCCCTACCTTTAGAGTTATTCCTGTTTATTATTTTTTTTTTTTTTTGGTTATGGAAATATTTTGTATAACTAAACACATTTTGAGAAAGATTTTTAGAGATGCTGATTTCCTTTGCTGAAAGAACAAAGCAATCCATTCAACCTAACCGCATTTGAAAAATTTATCTCCATGAAGCTGATGACTAGCAGCAACAAAAAGTGACATTTAAGGTACTGTGCATTTAAATTCAATATGGGGCTTGTTGGCCTTGGGGAGTGCTGGCCTAGGGGGTTAGAGCAGTGCGCTTGTGCTCAGAGAAGGTTGCAAGTATCCAGTACGATCCCCACAGACTGCAACTCTGGGTCCCTGAGCAAGACCGTTAACCCCACACTGCTCCTCAGGCGCCGCACAATGACAGCCTACTGCTCCCCAAGCAGATGAGTTAAATGCAAAGAGTTCATTTCTCCAGTGTGAGATTATTTAAAGTTCGGTTATTATTATTATTTTCCCATACTTGTCTGTTTAGACATATAAATCTTGCCCAACTGCAGGGTTTTATTTGACCATGAATGGCTTGTTTAATATAATGCCCCAGCATCACAGTGAGTCCAGCTTGAACTCCACCGTTGCAAAACCTTTTCTCCATTTCGAGGTTGGTGGTGCGCGCTAAAAATCATTTACCCCAGAGGATTTGAGCTCAAGTTTACAAACAGATATTCCCACAAAATCCATCACACTTACTATCCAGTCAGACTGCAGGTGTTATAATGACTTTAATAGATCCCATTGTCTTTGATCATCTGTTCTTCAGTCCATTAGATAGCAGCTTAATCCTTGTTGTATTGATTTCACATGTCTTGCAATAATTCAAAAAAAGTCATTTTTTTTAGAAATACAGTAATATTGTTGATTTAACAAGTGAGGCCATTACTTCAAAAACAGGACTAGGTTGCTAAGGATAGATTTAAGAAATCATAATGATAAAAAAAAACTGTATGTTATGTTTACTCTAGTTATGTGGTCCTGTTGTGTAGATTTGTTGAAAATATTAGAGTATGATTTATACATGTATTAAAATATAAAGGGGTAATAAAATGTCATATAGTTATCTACTGAAGATCATTTGCTCATCAAAACCACATTTTAGTTGTTTTCACTAACTATGACAATGGTGATTACATACAGTAACCAGGTGAATGCTAAATATGCACCTGTTGAAAAGGCCCTTTCAAGGAGGAATTTAACTATCTTGGATAATGAAAGCGTGTTTTATTTAAATATAAAGACACAGGGAGTTCTCAGTACGGTGACAGAATACCACGAAAAGGAGGAGCAATGTTGCTCAGTCACGAGGTTGCAGTTAAACCTCACAAGGGGCATTTAGGCAGCTGAAAACCCTGAGGCAAAAGAAAGCTTACTTTACAGCATCAATCAACTATCGGGTAATGCTGAAAATGCTTCTGTTAAATGTTTTTACGGAGCAAAAGTAAAGTTACCTGATTCTAAGCGAATTTTCATTGGCTGATTTTATTTACAGTTTTTCTGATAAGTTGATGAAAAAAAAAACAAAGTCATATAGAACAAAGTTTAGACTACCTAGGAAATCTATGTAATAAAGTAAATCACCTTTTTAGCTTTTTTTACTCTAGTTTGATGGGTCAGAAAAGAGAACTTTAAAAATTGTTAAATCATTCCCCAACATCAGCTTTAGTGAGATTTTCTAATCAGCTGTAGATGTCAAGAGTTTTTTGCAGTTAAAAAGTAGAGGCTGCTTTAAGCAGCAAACACTAAAGAAATAACATCTCATAATTTAATGTTTCAGAGTTTATTTTAGCTCAATACCTGTTTGTTTCAACACTTAGAGATTTAAAAGGTGCTCAGTGTTTAAAGTATCTCCCAAAGTTGATTGGGCCAGTGTTGACTCTACTCTGTTGTTTTTTATTTGGTTTTATTTGATTTAACGAATTTATTTTTATTATTTTTGTTTTATTCCTTTAAACTTCTATGTTGTTTTTATACAATTTTAACTTTACCTGGTATGTGCAGCACTTTTTGGCTGCTGTGTTTTTTTTATTGGGCTTTATAAATAAAGTTGAAAAAAAAATAAATAAACTCATTCAAGGCCTTGGTTTTAGAGCAGTCTGAAAAC